AAATAAGATTTCTATAAAAAATGTGCATATAAAATATACATAAATAAAGACCCAAAGAAGGATATTATTGTTATTTATTTATTATGTTCATTTAAAATTGAATAACTGAGTATGCAGATTTGTTACCATAATAAAACCCAACACAGGACAGCTTTCCAAATTAAAATGAATACTATTTTGACTTAGTTATGAGATTTTAAAATTTGATTACTATTAAAAATTTGTATTTAAATAAACCTAAATAAAGACTCAATGTAGCGTATTATTATTATTTATTTATTATTTACATTTTAAATTGAATAACTGTGTATGCAGTTTTATTGCCATTACAAAGCCTAACTTAAGACAGCTTTCCAAATTAGAATTAATATATTTTTGGCTTAGTTATGAGATTTTAAAATTTGATTTCAATTACAAATTTTCATATAAAATATACCTAAATAAAGACTGAAAAATGGTATTATAAGTTAAGTCAGAAGCTTGTAAAACAGTGAAGGAGGCATTTCCGACCCCATAAATCATATATATTCTTGATCAGCATCAACAGCTGAATCGATTTAGCTTTGTGTGGTTGAAAAACAATTTTTGAAATTTTTGTCTATTTTTGCAAAAAATGATAAGGGGTTACATCATTAAAATTGTCAAAAATCGACAAAAATTTGATGTTTAACCATTTTTAACTGAGTATGCAGTTTTGTTGACCTAATGAAAACTAGCATAGGAAAGGTTTCCGAATTGAAATTAATGCATTTTTGGCTTAGTTATGAGTATTTTAAAATAAGATTTCTATTAAAAATGTGCATATAAAATATACATAAATAAAGACCCAAAGAAGGATATTATTGTTATTTATTTATTATGTACATTTAAAATTGAAGAACTGAGTTTGCAGATTTGTTACCATAATAAAACCCAACACAGGACAGCTTTCCAAATTAAAATGAATACTATTTTGACTTAGTTATGAGATTTTAAAATTTGATTACTATTAAAAATTTGTATTTAAAATAAACCTAAATAAAGACTCACAGTAGCGTATTATTATTATTTATTTATTATTTACATTTTAAATTGAAAAACTGTGTATGCAGTTTTGTTGCCATAACAAAGCCTAACATAAGACAGCTTTCCAAGTTAGAATTAATACTTTTTTGGCTTAGTTATGAGATTTTAAAATTAGATTTCAATTACAAATTTTCATATAAAATATACCTAAATAAAGACTGAAAAATGGTATTATAAGTTAAGTCAGAAGCTTGTAAAACAGTGAAGGAGGCATTTCCGACCCCATAAATCATATATATTCTTGATCAGCATCAACAGCTGAATCGATTTAGCTTTGTGTGGTTGACAAAATTTTTTGAAATTTTTGTCGATTTTTGCAAAAAATTATCATCATTAAAATTGTCAAAAATCGACAAAAATTTTGATGTTTTACCATTTTTAACTGAGTATGCAGTTTTGTTGACCTAATGAAAACTAGCATAGGAAAGGTTTCCGAATTGAAATTAATGCATTTTTGGCTTAGTTATGAGTATTTTAAAATAAGATTTCTATAAAAATGTGCATATAAAATATACATAAATAAAGACCCAAAGAAGGATATTATTGTTATTTATTTATTATGTACATTTAAAATTGAATAACTGAGTATGCAGATTTGTTACCATAATAAAACCCAACACAGGACAGCTTTCCAAATTAAAATGAATACTATTTTGACTTAGTTATGAGATTTTAAAATTTGATTACTATTAAAAATTTGTATTTAAAATAAACCTAAATAAAGACTCACAGTAGCGTCTTATTATTATTTATTTATTATTTACATTTTAAATTGAAAACTGTGTATGCAGTTTTGTTACCATAATAAAACCCAACACAGGACAGCTTTCCAATTAGAATTAATACTTTTTTGGCTTAGTTATGAGATTTTAAAATTAGATTTCAATTACAAATTTTCATATAAAATATACCTAAATAAAGACTGAAAAATGGTATTATAAGTTAAGTCAGAAGCTTGTAAACAGTGAAGGAGGCATTTCCGACCCCATAAATCATATATATTCTTGATCAGCATCAACAGCTGAATCGATTTAGCTTTGTGTGGTTGAAAAAATTTTTGAAATTTTGTCGATTTTTGCAAAAAATGATAAGGGGTTACATCATTAAAATTGTCAAAAATCGACAAAATTTTGATGTTTTACCATTTTAACTGAGTATGTAGTTTTGTTGCCCTAATAAAAACTAGCATAGGAAGGTTTCCGAATTGAAATTATGCATTTTTGGCTTAGTTATGAGTATTTTAAAATAAGATTTCTATTAAAATGTGCATATAAATATACATAAATAAAGACCCAAAGAAGGATATTATTGTTATTTATTTATTATGTACATTTAAAATTGAAGAACTGAGTTTGCAGATTTGTTACCATAATAAAACCCAACACAGGACAGCTTTCAAATTAAAATGAATACTATTTTGACTTAGTTATGAGATTTTAAATTTGATTACTATTAAAAATTTGTATTTAAAATAAACCTAAATAAAGACTCACAGTAGCGTATTATTATTATTTATTTATTATTTACATTTTAAATTGAAAACTGTGTATGCAGTTTGTTACCATAACAAAGCCTAACATAAGACAGCTTTCCAAGTTAGAATTAATCTTTTTTGGCTTAGTTATGAGATTTTAAAATTTGATTTCAATTACAAATTTTCATATAAATATACTAAATAAAGACTGAAAAATGGTATTATAAGTTAAGTCAGAAGCTTGTAAAACAGTGAAGGAGGCATTTCCGACCCCATAAATCATATATATTCTTGATCAGCATCAACAGCTGAATCGATTTAGCTTTGTGTGGTTGAAAACATTTTTTGAAATTTTTGTCGATTTTTGCAAAAAAATGATCATCATTAAAATTGTCAAAAATCGACAAAAATTTTGATGTTTTACCATTTTTAACTGAGTATGCAGTTTTGTTGACCTAATGAAAACTAGCATAGGAAAGGTTTCCGAATTGAAATTAATGCATTTTTGGCTTAGTTATGAGTATTTTAAAATAAGATTTCTATAAAATGTGCATATAAAATATACATAAATAAAGACCCAAAGAAGGATATTATTGTTATTTATTTATTATGTACATTTAAAATTGAATAACTGAGTATGCAGATTTGTTACCATAATAAAACCCAACACAGGACAGCTTTCAAATTAAAATGAATACTATTTTGACTTAGTTATGAGATTTTAAAATTTGATTACTATTAAAAATTGTATTAAAATAAACCTAAATAAAGACTCACAGTAGCGTCTTATTATTATTATTTATTATTTACATTTTAAATTGAAAAACATGTATGCAGTTTTGTTACCATAAAAACCCAACAAGGACATTTTCCAAATAGAATTAATACTTTTTGGCTTAGTTATGAGATTTTAAAATTTGATTTCAATTACAAATTTTCATATAAAATATACCTAAATAAAGACTGAAAAATGGTATTATAAGTTAAGTCAGAAGCTTGTAAACAGTGAAGGAGGCATTTCCGACCCCATAAATCATATATATTTTTATTAGCATCAAGAGGAGAATCTTTCTAGGCATGTAGGAAAAATTAGTGAAAAATAATTTTACTTCCGTATGAAAGATTTAAATTTTAGATTGACATTGCTATTAACTTAGAATTAATTTATTAATAAGCATCCAAAGCCTTGGCCTTTGCCGCACCGCGGCAGTGATTAGGGAATACATATAAAAAGAAAGCTAGAAGATTAATAGAAAACCTTAAAATAATTTCTATTTCGGACCAGCCATTTTTATATCTGAAATTAAATTTATTTTTAAATTATTTATTTAAAATTATATTTAGGAGATGATACAAAACAATCATAGTCCAATATGCAAATCAAAATAGAGACATGATTCGTTCGTTACGTTCTCTTGTATAAAGCTAAGGCCGCTACCGATCACTAGTAAGTGTGGGTAAGTCTTCCCTAATTACTTTTTCGTCATACCTAAGCCAAGTAACTTAAGCAGGGAAAAAAAACTAAAAGTGAATAAAAATTAGGTACATTGCCGTAGTGCTTATCCGGTCGGCTCATAAATATTTATAAGCGACTGTTGCAGTTGTTATATGCTAATTCGAGGCCAGAAGTGGCGGCACAGTTACATCTTGAGCATCTGCCAGTGTGGTAAATATTATTTACATGGCTCGGCATTTGCATATTTAACGACAAAAACGGCTCTCCGCCATCTGCGGATCTTACTATAAAGTATATACATATATATCCTTTGCCTAACCCCGGAGCAGTTCCAACACCAGTTTACACAAATTAATGCGAACTCGCACGTGTTAATTCAAGGATGTGCGGCTGTTTTATCCTGCTCCCTGGTATTTGGCATGAATTTGCATATTAGAAAAAGTTTTCTGCTTGTGAAATGTCAGTTTAATATGCGTGAAGTAGTTTTGCCAACGCCGCCCCCATACATCCTTTCACCCCATCCTTTTTTGCCTTGTAAAATGCGCTTAAGAAAGCGAAGATAAAACTTTGCGCAATCTAACTTTTAGCTCGACCCCCCAGACCCATTTCCAAGTCGTGGGCGGCATAAATAATTAGGGTTATGTTCTCCAGCTACACAGACTTATGTTGGGAAGCTGTGACAAAGATAGACAGTTCTTAGTTTGTGTGTGTGTTTGCCTCATAATTAAATCATCGAACATTTAGATAGTTCTATTAGGGGTTGCAAACTTACCCTCACAAGGTCTTTCGGTTGATGGGGATGTGCTAATTGTATTTTATAGACAATAAAGACGTTTTATAATTTATAACCATAAAATATTTATTTATAACAAGCTTTAATTGCAGGACATTGTTTTACACTTTTAATAACTACAACTAAAAGATGCTATACTTATTTTATAGAAACACTGTGCATAATCTTTAAGATAATATATATTTTAAAATTTGTTTTAAAACTACGACTTCTTATCCCGAATTACCTCTTGCGCTCCTCTCAGCAAACATAAACTGTATAAGAATGACAGGTATGTGACCACAGCTGCAAACATCTGTATAGAATCTTTCATTAGTAATATTAAAATCGATTATATAACATAACTTACGCTGCTGAGAAGGTGCAAATTGAGGCTAAAGAAATCCTTGGCGGTGACCACAAAGCGTTGATGAAGCGTTTGCAGGGAGAACTCGCTTACCAGCTCATTGTATCGCTTGCTACCCTGGGGTTTCACCAATTTGAAATAAGACAACCGATCTGGCGACCCTGGAAGAAAATGATTACTTTAAATGTTATCAAGAAGAAGTGCAATAGAATATTGCCTCACAAGATTGTAGCTTTGCTGACAATGCCAGCAAGCAGCCGACGTTTGCAGGGCTACATTGAAAATAAATCCCATTTTGACGAGAATGGCATTGAATCGACGCTTCGGAGTGGTTCGAACATCACGAAGAGCCAATAAGAATTGCACACAAAGTCAGCAAAGAAAACAATGATGATGATGAGTAGACTGCCACCGAAATTAGAATTAATCCGATCGAACAGAAGATGGAGTTCGTTATAACGTCGCTTTAAAGCTTCAATTCGATAGCTCTGCTGATCCAAGCTATCTGGTTTATATTTACACAGAGGCCAACGGCTGGACAATTCCCTGGCCAGGATCACCAACTGAAGCTTGGCCAAACGAACTCGTACGTTCACCTCCATTACCTCTGATATAAAGGATATTATCTGTAGCTGCAGTGCCAGGAAACTGGGCAGCGTTTTCAGGTGATAAAGCCAAACGCGACGTTCATAGTCAGGCACATTGGAGCACACCATGTATTCAACTCCAAGCATAGGCATCAGCATACCCATCACCGTGAAGGCAACCCAAGGATCTGAGGCCTCAAATATAATGGTCAATTCATCGGCTGCTTCTGACTGACGCGAAGACCCTGAATGAATCTGCTGACCACTAGGAAAGAGTGCGATGCCGTCTGGCACACCGTCAGCATATGTCGGAGCATGCAGTCCAGATTGCAGTCCATGGTTTGAGCAACAGCAAGGCTCCGAATGCAGATGAAAACGTACCAGGCTATCCAACCAATCAATCGAATCCACAGAATCGAACGTGGCACTCGACTGGAACTCAGGGAGAATACCTTGAGGACCAGGTGAAGCAATTTGAGGACAGCACGCGAGGTGACTTGTAATCTGGTCAGTGGAAACATGACTACTGATGGGCAAATGACCCTAGAATACTTAGCTTACTGCCAATTCATCATTGTCACTGTTAATTAGGCACTGATTCGGCAGACTCATGTATCGGGGCTAAGGGGCTGGCGCTGATTGATTGTCCACTTAGGTCTCAGAACTAAGCACCTCTTAAACAACACTTAACTTACATTTTCAGCACCCGCATCGCCGTGCCAAAATAGAGTGGCAATCGGAGTTCCAAACTCGATGGCAGTGGCTCCATTGAAGATCAGGCTTTGCAGGTTCTGGTTCTGGCTCTCGTACAGCCCGAGAGCATCCAGTAGGAGTTGGTCACAAACTCGAAGCTGGCCACCAGATGGAGACCCAGCATTCCCCATCCGTAGCAGTCACTGAGCGCCTCGTAGCACTCGAAGATTCGCTCGTAGGTGGTGCGCAGCGTCTGGAGTTGGCGGCACTCCAGGACTCCGTACGGCTGCCAGAGATCGTTGCCGGCGGCCAGGGATAGCAGGGAGCGTCTTAGCTGAAGGGATCGCTGGTTCAGATCCAGACGTGCTGCACCAGCTGGACGTAGCGGAAGCGAAGCAGCCATGACAATGGAAGGGAGATGAAGAAACGGCGATACCATACCCGAAAATTGATGGCCACCCTCACAAGATCGCAAATGAGCTGGATACCCATCAAGGCCAACAGGTATCCCGCCTGGCGACGTCTTCCAAACATACCAAGCCGCTGGAGCTGTAACTCCGATTGAAAGCGGAAATCCTCCAGTTGAGTGTGCGTCTTCTGCTTCAGCACACTCTCCAGCAGGAGCAGCAGACCAGAACGGAGTTGCCCATGAACAATGCGGTGCCCACCACATTACCCACACTTGCGATGGCTATTGATTTGAAGCTGAAGCCAACGCTCAGCAAATAGGATATATAGGCTATCCAACAGCAGCGGGTTCCGAGTGATAGAATCAGCCAATATAGTTGGGAAATCGGTGGCAGTGGTACCAAGCCCATTACCAGAATGCTACAGCCAGGAATCGACGAGTTAGACACTCCAAGGACTTCATGTTGCAACTGAACGGGGCTACGTTTAGGGATACTCTATTTAACCATCCATCAGTTGGATATTCTGTTAAATGATCAATCTTATGACTCAGCTAGTTGACTTGACAATTTCGAGTTTAATATTGAATTAAGGAGAAAGAAGTACAAGACTACTTTGCCCTTGAATAAATATTAAATTGAGTATGCAGATTTATTACCCTAATAAAAATGAGAAAACTACTGCTTCCGAATTATTAATTATTGCTTTTAAATTTTTGATTTGTTAAAAAAATTTGCCATATATAAACATCAATATACATACATACATTGTTATATCATTCAAAGCTTGCGAATATTTCAAACTTAATTATGATTGATTTTCTTAGTTTCCTTCATTTTAGTATCTAATATATTATATATTACAAATATTTTTAATTTACAGGCCCTCTTTACATATGCTTGTATTATCACCAATCAAAAACTGGAGATACGTTGTGGCATTGATGATGAGATAAACAAAGATGTCAAAGACCAGATCTCGATCGCAGATAGAGCCCCGGTTCCAAATAAAGTTACGAATGGGAAAAGAGTTTGCTGCAGCTGGAAGCTCTGGTGCTGAAAGGCATAATTCAATTTATTCAATTTAAAATAATTTATAATAACAACTTACCTTGCAGCTGATGAGTCTGGCAACTGTTGGAGAATTAAAATGTTGTCCTCAGAGTGCAGCAACTCAATAAGAAAGATCCTCTCACAGAGCTGAGCCTCAAGTGCTTCATTCGATCGCTGGCCATACCCATTAGCAGAATGGCAACTAGGGGATATAGACAAGTGCCGACTTTATTCATGATCAGCAGAAAGCTCGTGTGAATAAGGGTATCTCGGACAAGGCGAACAAGCAGTAGAAGTATAGGTGCCTCGTGTGCCGTGTAATAAACGCTGATGAACATCATAGAGGAGACCTTTAGCCAAGCATTGGTCACCCGGAAGTGGATGCCACTCATTTGGGTATAGATATCGAATACGTCTATTACCTTGCGGTAGTAATCCGAAGTTGGAGAGCCTCCATCTTGTACGAGGGCAATGTAGGACTCCAGGAAGGTCAGTAAGGTCCGCTGCCAGCCCAGAAAGAGCAACTGATACAGCAAGTAGGAGCCATAAAATATCTCGAAAAGATCACATTCACGGTGTGAAATCGAACACCTATTATATTATTTTCGTGTGGCCTATACTGAGCCAGAATGTGATGTAGCGTCAGGACTACCTTCAGCAGGAAGAGCAGAACCAGCGAGTCGTCAGAGTAGAATTGATCATCTCCAAAGTTTCTCGCACAACGCGATTATATGAAGCACTCGATTCACTATAGATATCAAAGGGAACTGTAGGCTGAGCTATGACTGAGCCACAGCAGTTGCAGGGTAGATATACTGAAATTACGACTATGGCAATCAAGTGCATCCAGTAGTAGGCATTGTTTTCAGTAAACTGACTGAATCTCCGAATATCAACAAGTACACAAAACCAATGCATACCAAAACATATGGAAATTCCAGCCAGAGCAGTCCTAGTTTGATGCACATTGCCACGGCGGTCCACTGCCAGAATGTGCTATGTTTCCGCAGCTTTCATTTATTCAACATACCGGAATGAGCCCAAATCGAGAAAACAACAAGAGAAGTAAATACCGAGCGAAGCACAATGAATAAACCACCTATTGGCCTTCCTTCGCAGGTTGTATCGAGTGGCTGACATTATCTAGGAAACTGAATTAGGATACTACCTCGCGACCCTTGGGGGCATCGCGCATACGCAGTGTTGGCCGGTGCAGTAATTGCGCTAATTAACACATTAATAAATGAATGGATGGAGCCTAAAGTCAATCGATTAATGTAAATGCAAATTAGATAAATACGATTGTGAATAAATTCCCGAATAATCATGGGATTAGGAATCACATGTATTCTGCATGGATGCCATTAACAAAATTATGGCAAAAACCAGTGGTACTTGTTTAGCTTCAGCTTTTTGGCTTTTTTGCTCAATTTATTTGGTCACGTTCTGGGCAAACCGACAAAAAACCGAAATCCATAATTGGCATTAAACAATTCCCTTTGTACACAGCGAGTATCATATTCCATGCAAATATGTGCGGCAAAAGGACCCACGTCGAAAAGTTGTTTCAATTTAATTTGACTTTGATCGCCAGCTGACGCAAATGTCAGGCATGATGACATGTCCCCCATCGTTATAGAAATCTAACCCTCGCAGCATGCGAAAATCAGCAACATTAGAGGGCGAACATGTCTCATTTTGTTTATGGATTTACATCAGGACAAGCTGTGACCAAACTGCGAAAAAACCCAATTTTATTGTAATTTAAATGGATGATTTTTATGAAAATTCTATTAACAGATGAACAGTTTTTATTGAAGTTTCTTTTGTTTTGATTTTTTGTAGAGAAACACTAAAAATAAACGCACGCATCGACGCTTCGGTTTATTTGCGAGAAAACTTTTAGGTTTTTATGACCAGAAAAACACTCGTTCAGCTCATAAAGATTAGCGATTCTTATTTGTTTTTCGGTCGTGAGAATTGAGTCTTTAAAATCGGTATACTTATGAGCTCAAAAATGAGCGAAAGGAGCGGGAGGACATCGGCATAAACCAAAAGTTTTGTATCGTGTCCATAGATGGCAGTGATGGGACTCTGTGTTTTATTGCCCAAGGAGTCGAGCAGTAGCCGAGAACTTCATAAATCACAGAAGTTTGTTTTCGGCCATGAAAAGGCTTATGGGGTTTATCAAAATGAAAATTTATTGGCGCTTGGAATTTTAGATTTATGTATTTCCACCCACCACCAAAAATCCAAGAGAAATACGCATTTTATTGACAGAGGACAAGTGGAATGATAAGGGATATTTTTGAAAGTATTGGCATTATTATTTTTTTTCTGTACAGTTTCCTCCCCCAGAGAACCTCCTGAGCTCGGCATAATTGAAAAGTTGTGTATGCTTTTCCGATTGGCAAGGTAAACGCATCATTTACGTGAGAAATTCCACAAGCAATTATACGTTTGCAGTTTCATTTTTCAAAGCAAACACATTTGCGGGTACGGGGGCAACCACAACCTCTGGACTGGGATTAATTTTCATTTAAATTCCAGTTTGTTAAATATGCAAAAAGTCCTTTAGTGCAGCTCTTGCTGCAGCCCTGAGAGACTGTGTCCTGTCCTGTTCAGTCCTTTACTGCTGGTTAACGAACGAGCTTGCCACTTTTGAGTAGTTAAAATTGCAAAGGTCCACTTGCCACACCTTTTCGAGTGTAAAATCTTTGCGGTTGACCGCAGACGGAAGCGAACGGAAAATGGCAACTATCTGGTGACATTTCGCACTGCTATTAAATCCTTATGAGAGAGGGAAAACAACTCCTGGACCGAGAACATTTCAAATTCAATACGGTTTCTTTGCTTATGCAGTTTATGGGCTCTTATAAATGCGAAAACAGTTACTCTGGCCAAGTTGTCTAATCTTCAAAGGCAACCGCAACCCTTTTCGTTAGCCAGGCGAGTGGATAATTTTTAGCTTTGAAGCAAAAAGTCCTTGGGCAAGAATGCATAATTCATAAAACGCAAATCCCCTCTATCTCTCGCCACCCCATCGCCCGCCTCCTTTTCTTAAACTTTGATGGTTCAACTTTTTAATCGGATTCCCCGGATTCCCCCGATTTCTACTACCACATCAGCACATCCCCATCGCCATCGTATCGGTAGTTTTCCTGCTTCGCTTTCTGGTGGTTTTTCTCCACAAATTTTTGGCCAAAAAGCGCTTAGGGCCATCGAAGTTTGCCTACCTCAAAACAGATAAATTGCGTATTATTTTGCTCTTCCATCGTAATTTCTTTTTGTCCCAATCGGATATCCCCTGGCACTCTTGTGCTTGGTACATGTGATGGAGTTTCTTTGTTCAATTTGTTGTGTGGAAGCAATGAAATTCGAGAGATTACAAGCCACCGATAATGCCATGGAAGATGTGTGCACACTTAATGAAAAAAGTTTTCTTTGTGGACTTTTAAATGAGAGAACAAATACCGATCTAAAATAATGAAATTCTTGAATGGTTTATAAAAACTTGATGAGCAATAATTGGAAAGTAAACCTCCCTAAACTCATTACTTAATATTTAATTGATACCTATTCCGAATCTTGAAAATACCTAAATTTCTTAATATATGACTTCCGTAATATTTTTAACCAAAAGTTCCCGGAAAACTCTAGAGCACTTGGAAAGGTGCTGCAGCACGTCGGAAACGTGTTTAAGGCGGCAACTTGTTCCGCATAATGTGACATTTTCTCTGGAAAAGTTCCGGCAAGTGTGCGAAAATGTTTCGTTATTTATGTATGCGCCTGTTGCAGCTTCAGTTGCAACTTCTTTGGCCATTTGTTTCTTGTTTTTCAGTTTTTGCCAGAGGAGTAACTTTGGCCCCGGGCCTAGGCCCTATACCAGTCCTATACCATCCCTACAATGCCCGTGGTTAGCTGTAGTGGAGTGTCATTGGTTGTTTGGTGGTTGCTCACCAGCTGGCGGCCGAATAAATCACGTATTTAAACAAGTTGCCCAGCTTGCCGGCAAAGTGTAAACAGGACACGTGCAGAACTTTGCTTTATGACAAATGTTTGCAGGATTTCGCAGAGCAGAACGTAACGAAAACCGGAAACCGAAAACTCGGAATGTCATAATATTGCGATTAAAACTAGAGTTTCTCCTAAGTATTATTTATAATTTATATTTAAATTATATTTATAATTAAATAAAATAATCTATGTCGCCTCGAAGTCACGAATAGAGCAACAGACCTTCTTTGTCATCTTCCAATTTCTTTTCCCATAGCAACTTATAGGTCATATCACTCGTCTCTGATCCCTGAAGTTCCCCTGCCGTTGGATATCCATTTTGAACCTTGGCCAAGATTGGCAATAGGGCAACAATGGCCTCCCGGGTTTCGGTGTGACAGCTGGAGTGAAGGACCAATACGTAGCCAGTGGGGAATATGGCAAATCTTACGCCCGCATTCTCGGTGGTGTAGGTGATGAACGGTCGCTTCTCCGGATTACTAGTCACCTGCTCCGAATGATTTTTCGCCATCAGTTTTAGATCGAGCTTGAACGGCATACAGAAGGAGGCATGTACGACGTTCTTGCTAAAGTTCTTGATGTCCGGCTTGTAGTCCATCTCCTGCACCATACGGATCACCCTGAAAATGGCACTGCGGGCCGCGTCAGCCGTAAGGGCGGTGGCCACCATCTTGCCACCGGCATAAATCTTCACCTGGGCAAAGTTATTGTGCAGCCTCACGGTCACGGAGGGATGACAGGCCGGCTCAAAGCGAGTATCGGGCATCAGGATGCCCAATTCGTATAAGTTGAAACGGCAACTAAAGTCCATGATGCATATGAAGGGTCTGTAGAGCAACTGGATTTTCTTTTCCACCTCTGCCAGCTTGCTCAAATCGTCAAAGATGGCATTAAAGTTGAATTCTGAATCAGGTCCCACCGGATCGCCCTTCTTCGAGGCCTCTCCCAGCAGATATCGGTGGGCTTGCAGAAGAATTTCTGAATATAATTCTTCTCAGGTGCAATGGTATCCGTTTTAGTTTGGTCAATGCCCGAGTCCCCAGAATTGGATTCGCATTCACCCAAACAAGTTTATCAATAGCTTGTCCAGGTAGGATATTTTCTCCACAGGCTTATCATCCTCCGACAGGAGGTCCTTCACCTTGAACTCTTCCCTGCAATAACTTCACTAATAAGGGAAGAAGCACAAGAAACGCGGAGAACTCACTCATCGCTTTTGCAACCTTTTTCTTCGTTTTTAATGACAGAATCCATTTTTCTTAATAAAAGTAGACCCGGTTCAAAACGATTCCTTTTATACCAAAAATGTTAGGATATGTCGTAAAAAGAAAAGCCAATGTGATTTAAAATATTTGAAATTGACATTCCTCATTTGACTTTTATTTTTATCTCATTGCAAGTTCCTGTAAAAAAATATTTCGATAACTTTGTCACATTTACAAAATCAGATTTCAAAGGTGTTTAATGATCTCCTATTTATCAATCAGCGAAAACCATTAATAATACCATAAAAAATATTCCCCCTTCTGTTTGTGAGCTCATATATTTGTGTAATTCAAAATTATGATTGCAAATGAATCACTCTGATTGGCAAAAGCAAAGCATTAATCGTGTCCTCCATTCCGCTGAGTAATTGCTTTAGCCATCTGATGCTTTCAACAGATCCAAACATCAGTTATCCATTAAATCTAGAGGGTTATACCCTATTTGTTGCTGTAAGCACTTGACAAACTATAACAAATTACAAGCGACCAAAGGCGATGGATAAAAACAAAAAAAAACAAAAAATGAAACGCGGGCCATTTGAGTCAACTTATGCGCTTGTCAAGCTTATATTTACACACAGTTGACCATATTTTATGTCGATTCCGGTTATGAAATTTACAGAGCTGTCAGAAAGAGTTCGGCGACATTTTAGTAAATATTGAAATTTAATCAAGCAAAGTGCAGTGCACACACAGAGAGACAGAACACAGGACGCAGGACGCAGGACGACAACGATATGAACACGTCCACCCTCAGACACCTGTCACCGACGTCGCCCGGCGTTACTCCTTGCCCGCTCGTTTCCCACTCATCCCCTTGCAGGATGATGGTCCTGCACAGAGAGAAATTTAATTATATTACTAAGATTTGGAAACTTAAAGTTTAGACTTGTAAAAGTAATAGAAAGAACAAAGTAAAGTAGGTAACTGCAATCGCTTTATGGTAATGGCTCGCCTTAAAACTCTTCATTAATTATAGGAATTATATTTAAATACTATTAACTAGTAATGAATTTATGATTAGAGCTATCTATCGCATTGGAATAGTTTCTAAAAAATAGTAAACGTATCAGTAAACATATAATAATTAAATAAAATAAACATCTTAAGAAGATGCACACATCAACAAATTCTTAATTATTTTTCTTTTGCCAAATATATTTTTAAAATTTTCAATTGAAAAACATTTTCTCGCAGTGCCTTTGTGTGTGTTACACAATGCATGTCAGTGAGCGAGTGTGGGGGAGTGGATGCGTGTGTGTTTGTCGAAGTCAACAATCAATTGAATCGATTTCATTTTACAAATTGCGTTGAATTTTGTGGTGCAGCCACCACCAGCTGCAGTTGACGGCGAAGCCAGCGGCAACAATAACGAGCCCTGGGTGGCTCACTATATGTACTATATGTCTGAATATACATATATGTATATATATTAAGCCACATAGTCACCCCACATCCACACACTTGTGGCCATGCAGATTGAGGGAGTTTGTCTCCTTTGGACTGATTTTGATGGTCAATTGCTACACGCAACAGCTTCTAATTGGAAGTGAACTTGGGGGCAGAACGCAAAGATATAGTGGCCAGATACTTTGAATGAATGCGAATATCGATTGGATTTTCCCATTGTAAAAATGGCTTCCAAAGCAAACTCTATTTAAAGGGGAAATTTCAATATACAGGACTTGCCTAAATACAAATATCAGTTAAATGCACTTGGCAAAATTAGTTGTCTGTCTCAGACTATAATTTAATTTCTAACTTGTTCTCAAAGTGAATTTCTTCTTCGCTGACTATAATAAACTCTTAGGAAGAGTATTCAAAGCTTTTACTGATGATTTTCCAACAATTTTCTGTTTATAGCTCCGAGTGTAATATCCAGAAAACCCGAAAACCCATTTGTCATACACGAAATTGCAATTTAGACCCTCGGCCACATAATGCCTGTGCTTAAATCGATTATAGACCATTACAGGCGACGCCTACGCAGCGCGCAATTAATATGCTTTTTGGATACGCCATTGGCATGGCCATTCCCAGGGATTTCGAATTGGAATACGAATAGGAATGGAATTGAAAGTGGCTACCGGAGAGGATATGCGACCAGAGGGCACCGCGGCACTGCATCTGCAATTTTGTGTTGCTGTAATTAAAAGTTGTGGCGCCAACTGTGGCCAGGATAAGGGCTTAACCGGGAACAGGAGGCGGCCAACACTCACTCTAATTCAAATTGAAGTGGCGTTTTTGTGTTGTGCAAGTAATTAGAACATAAAGTGGAATCGAAGCTCCCGACCGAGCCAAATTACATTGGCCGGGAGTCAGTCGGCGGTTTTCGCGTCGCTCCGGCCGATGGACAATCGGAGATAAGTGCAGGCAGGCATGAAATATAGCAAATAAAGCTCCAGTCCCCGGTGATTCCCCTCTCCACCGGGTGGAGCGGGTGGTGCACTCGAATAAAATGTCGCCGGCACGCAATGTTTTCATTTAGCTAATAGTCATTAGGCAAGCGTCGAGTAACAATTCGAATAATTACAATTCCTCAGCGACTGGGAATTGGAGGGGAGAGTGGTCGGTCGGGTCATGTAATCGTTTTGTGGCTACCTAATGCTTCCATTTGTTTTCTTTTTGTGGAAAATTTATTAACATGGGCCAAGGATCAGATAGAAATACCTCTCATTCTCTCCCTTTTTTTTCTTATCGTAAATCTCACTTTGCTTTTACATGGAAAAGTAATTTGAATTGGTTTCATTTTGGGGTAAATTTCAATATAATATTTAATATTTTATCAAGACTGGATAGATAGTTTTTCATATAAAAATATCCTTGAATTTAATTGGAAAAAAAGAAAACTCTATCCTAGCCGCAGATCCTTTTCCGGATGAAAACTTTATCGTTCGCTTTTGGCTCTGCCAAGTCTTCAATCCGATTGACACATTAATAAATGTGTTGCCAATGCCATTGACAGTTTTTCCTATTTTGCCATCCTCTTCCTGCCGAACAGAGTGTTAAGTGCATTGGAAACTTTTCTCACTCCTTGGCATTTTCCTCAGCTTTCTTTTTATGGACTCTTCTTTTTCCTGTGTGCATTGCTTCCACGCATGGTCATCGCGGGGGAATCCCCTCAACTTAAATTGAATCCTCCCAGAATCCTCCACCCATTCTCCAAGGAACTTGGCAACTTTGCCGGCTGTCGTTGCTGCCCAAGGTGTTCATGCGTGCCAAGAAATCAATAGAAAAAGTTTGAAATTACAAAATTGGAAAGAAAACAAATAGTGGGACGTACGGGCAAAATAAACAAACAAACAGACGGATGGACGGAAGGACGAAAGGACGGACGGACGGGACTGATGGAGCCAAGTCCCAGCTCCGGAGCTGGCAGGATGTTGGCTTTGGCCAGCCCCAAAGGCAAACAAATCCTCTGACTCTCTGACAAATGCTGAAAAGTTTAACTGCAACTTTTTATACCCCGTCGTCCTCCCTTTATTTTTTTGCTCGATTCGCACACATATATGTATTCACATGCAGTGCGTGAAGCGGATGGGTAAAAGTATGTGAAGTGGGATTATCAACATGGATGTACTTGGGATTGCTGCAGGAATGGGACTCCGACTCCATCCCACATGGACACATATAAACTTTTCCGCCGAATAATGGTCGAGCGAAAATGTCGGCGGAATGAGGTGCGAAAATATTTTAGAATGCACTCCGAGTGAGTTATTAAAACTTTTTCATAAAACATCTCAACAAACTAGAGTTAAACCTAACCCTAAATCTGTCAGAAATATTAGTAAATAAATAAATAAATTATATAGCCTTAATATTGAACGAATTGTTCTCAAATGCATCGATTACCATAATTTACCATGATTTAAATCTTAGATACCCATATATTATGGATATTTTAAGACTCTCCTTAATTTCACGATGGTCATCCATTAGCATCTGAAAGCTCACGCCTGAAGGGCAGCATTAATGTCACGATGGTCACTGCCGATGTCACATCTGTCTCCGGGCATCGCGGGCCCGGAATCCTGGCATTGCCATAAATTATGCCATCGCTGGTGTTTAATGCTGGGCGATTTTGTTGCAGAAACAACATCCTCCATCCTCGGTCCATTTCATCCCGTTTTTGGCCATCAGGAGCCGTGATTTATGCCCGTCGAGCGCATCGATATAAAATTGGTTGCATGAAAAGCGAATATTGACGCGATCGTCGGCCAAGTGTCTGATTTATAGGCCGTTTATCCTCGGCCGAACTCATCTGTAATGCAAGCTGTAATTTTGGCCGTAACCTTATCCTATAGAAACTTTACACTTAGTTTGATATTTGTACACAATCAACCAAATGTACACAATCAACCAAATGGAAAACATGACAATAGATATACTTATAATACCATTCCAGGGTATTCTACTATAACTTTCCGAAGTTTGTTTTCATTCTGTTTGAATAAATTTTCAACAGAATGAAATCGTTTAGATTGTTAAATTGATCGAACATTAACTAACAAATTTATAAGCAGCAGCAGCAGTTTTGGATATAAAAACATTATACAATAAAGGTACATAAATACAAAAAAGTAAGGAAAATTCTAATAATATGCTCTATGAGCTTGACTCTTCGGTTTTACAAGAAATAAACGAGGAAAAGCTCTGACAGCCTGAAGCCTCGGATTCCTCAAAAGGTGTATTGTAAAATACATGTCGCTTGATGCCATCCTTATCGATGACTCCAATGCGTATTACTCCCCCTGAACTGGTATCAAATCGTATGCCCGCCTGGATAGAGCTCTTGACCAACTCGATGCACTCCTCCTTGTTCATGCCGGGTTTGTAATGATTATTCACATATCCCTTGATATAGGGCGCCCCGGAGCCGGCAATGGCGAAGGGCAAGTGGACTAACATCCCGCCGAGTAGAATACTGTATACCTGGCCACCGCACTTCTCATCCCAGCCAGCCACAATGATCCCTGCCAGCATGCTCGTACGGTTCATATAACAACAGTTGCGGAACTCACTGGCGGCCCTAAAGACATCCACTGAGTTGCCGGTGCATCCGTGGTACTTCAGTTTGTTGGACACAAGATTGGCAATAGCTTGGGTGTCGGCAGCAGCTCCACTGCGGCAGCAACAAATGTTGTCCGTGATTTGGGTGAGCTTATCGGCGATGCGGTTGATCACAGAGCCTCCGGCACTGGTGCGCGAATCCGCTCCGATCACGGCTCCGCCGTCGAAGGCTACGGCCATAATCGTGGTGCCAGTGGCAAAGAGAACTTGATGGGAAAGCATTCTTTTGCTCCTTTTAAAATTCCAAAGCTTATTCTATTCGTTACACGAAATTCTGCTTCAAAATCAAGAGAAGAATATAGTAAGGTTTCCAAGGATAGATTGATTTATTCTGTAGAACATTTTGTAATACTATAGAACATATTATTTATACACTATTAGTAGCTGTAACATTTAATCCAAGTTAGAATATTCCCAACTTTAAAAAATTGCGTATCAGCCCCCTTCCTCATTATCATTTTTTGTTTTCCCTTCCAGGTTTTAAATATATATATTCCACTTTGCAAAGAAAAAACGCAAACCCGTTGTGTAATTCAGTCAAATTTTTTAAATGACCTTTTAAATGGGGTAACTGGGTGCCGTAAACTGCGTCCCGAAAAACAAAGCTATTGAACGAGGGTTTTGCCTGAAACATTTTCCCTTTTTCGTTAATTTCCCCAAGGCATTTTCCGTGCATAACTAAAACCCTCCCCAAACCGCTGGGCTGCGTGTAGGTGTTTTTCGTGAAAAGTTTCCCTTTACTTCGGGTAATCCCCCGCGACGTGGTACTGGTTGGGTGGAAAAGCGTGTATCTATGGATGAAAAGGATTGCCACCAACTCGTAATTGCAACTTTAGTTGTCAATTGTGGTAGCTCGATGATGCTGTAGCCCCTACAATAACTGGTGGTGACATCTCAATACAGTAAATCGATACACGGACTCGTGGGGATGTGTGCCCTGCCTTGATATGCTCTCAATCGCGTATACGCACCGTGGGACGGATCTGTCACTTTGCTCACCGAGGAAACGAAGGCTTATTCCGGCTCCGTTCGGTTATAGTGGACTCAGGCCATGGATTTGCAGTTTTCATGCCACAAGTAGTGACACAAGGGCGGATGGTGGTGATGGCGGCTTACCCTCATCTGTGGCGGCAGCCGGAATGCCAAAATGGCTCAGCCTTTGCCCGAACGACTTCCAGATAAAAATGCATAATTAAACAGCCGGGGAACGAAAGCGCAGCTGATGTCGACAGGGCCGGCATAAATTCGCAGCCACCGCATCATAATGTCCGCAAATCCTTGGACCCTTGCAATTTAATAAGCACTCGAGAATGAAAAGGAGTCACCTGGCCCCAGCCAGTGACGGAGCCGTTGTGCCGTTGTCGGGAGTCTTTAAGGAATTTTAATGGGCTTTGGTCGAGGCAGAGAGCCGGTGTTTACCCTTTGCATATTTAATGCCTGAATTTTAATGAAAATTAAATCGAAATGCTTGTCGCCCGGCCACCGACACCTGGTCTGCGCCTGGTCCACCGTCTACGCACCTGCGATTTATATTTAATCCTTTTCTGGCCACCGTCTCTGTCCTTGTGTCCCACGTTCTTGTATCTTTGTCACTGTATCCTGGCCCCTCCGCTGCATATGCCAGTGGCTTTGGCCCGAAACAAATGGCAAATGGCCACGGGCGGCAAATAAAACATGGCCCTCTGATTGATGACTTTGACTTTTGGCCATAATTTATCATAGATACCAGCCGGCAGCAGGCATTTGTTTGGCTCTTGTCAATGCCGGCGAGAAAAACAGCAGATAAAGCAGCTACACTTGGGGAAAACTAATACAATTCACTGCAAACACAGAAATATCATGAATACTCTTATTTCCTTAGAATTTTTTCTATCTTAAAGTGTTTATGAAAGTCGAAACTGCTTCCATGCTTTATCTCAATGCCAATTTTTCTCCTTGTGTATCCTACAGTACAACATTGCTGGCGGCAACAGATGACGCTCATTCTGTTGAAAAATGTTCAGAAAAGTGTCATAAGAGACCAGAGTCGGAGCAGTCGAGGCCGAAAAACTAATTGCAGCAAATAATAAAAACTAATAGGCTGTCGAAAAAGGCAACTAACCCACGCCATGCCATGCCACGCCCATGAAAAATGACAACGAGGATGGGTGTGGCGAGAGATGAGTATTGGGGGGGAGGGATGGAAACTGCAAGGATCATCATCATGAATCATCATCAGAGTCGTCACGCAAACAGCAAACAGCGAGACAGTCGGATGGAGCGACTCCGAAGATGTGAGAAAGTTAATGTCCTGTCAGGAAGTCGCTGCCTCGTTGCGCCCTTAAACGTCACAAATTGCCGGGTGGCAGGACCACACAGGAGCGGAGGCAACTCGGTGGGGTTACATGCACATTATCCTGAAGACAGCAAGTTTTTCCCCCTCTACATGGCTGTGAATATATTTCACAGCTTCAGGTGCGGAATGGGTGGAAAGGAGACAGGTGTCCTGAGACAGGCGCGTTCATTTGAGACGCTCGCATGTCAAAAGTTTTCCCTCCGACTTTTTGGGGGGGAAAAACTTTGCAGAGCGACTGAAAAACTTAAAAAAAAGACATGCATGTGAAAAACTGTTAATATGTTCTTTCTTTCTTCCTCTTTTCTTTTTTGTTAAATTTAATATTTGATTAGTTTTTGCATAAATCAATTAAATTTCAATCAGTGCAATGCATGGTGAGGTTCATGCTTATTTTGCAGCCATGTTTTTCGACAATTTTATTAAATTGCTAATTAATTTCTAAAATGACCAATAAAAACTAATATTTGCATTTGCATATTATACGGTATGTGAAGCATTTTCAATATTTTTCTAAATTGTCATTGCATATTAAAACTACAAATAATTACGGAATTGGTCTGTCTCTGCTATAAATTCAAATGAACACCTTTAAAGACCACTCCTAATGTATAGTTCTAGTTCTCCTCATATCATCAGGTAGCCACCAGCCAGCCAGCATCCTTTTTTCCTTTGTCATTGTTGACATTTCACGGTTTCGATCACTGCAAGTGGAAGAGCAGCTCAATTGGCGATACTTTGTCATGTGCGGCCAATTAGCAATGGAAGCTGCCACGGATGGCAGCAAACAAATCCCGCTGACGGTAGAAGTGCATGGAATGCAGGCTAGGAAAACTCTTCACTGAGACCACGGCCAAGCAACGAGCTATGTTAGTGCATTTCTGCATCAATCCGTGCTCATTTTTATGAGTTTTGCCGAGGACTCACCACCACCATCACCATCCAGCCAATGACATCCTGACGGACCCACTATTGTTCAAATGGGAAATAGAGACATGTTGGCTTTTCTGCTTCCGATTTGCAACAGTTGACGTTTCATGTAGCAGTAGCCAACAGAGTCCATGTATATGAAGGATGCACTGAGAGAATATTACAAAATGGTCAAAATATAAATGGCTTTCAGTTATAAATACATTCCAATTTCTTTCTCTTAGTTTATAGTTATATTTTTTCGAGTGTCCCACTTGCGTCACTGTTGCGCAAACACACATATTCCGACAGATGGCTCACATGGAGAACGAGAACAGGCCACATATGCTAATACACGGAGGCAGTCATCCATGGCATGTAGCAGCCGCATCGGCATTCCCCATCCGCCCAGTGACGTCAACTAATCCCTGGGGAATTGTTATGCGGCAACGCAGTGAAAGTTTTGCCCAAAAACACAGTACACACTTTAAGGCATTAAAGTATATTATTTTAATTTTAAGTGCATTGCCAACTCAGGTTGAGGGCCTCATTGCTCAGCGATCCGGGATTGATGGCCTCCATCTTGCGCATTCCTTTGCTGTCCACCACATAGACCTCGAAATTCCGCTGGTTGATGATCAAACGCTTCTGAATTTCCACCACACATTTCCTTAAGATGCAAAATGCCTCCGGCTGAGTGAGATTTGCGTTCCAGAATCTCTGTAGAATGCTGCCGCAAAACATACTGCCCCAACCGTGGCCCGCATGGTTAATGGACTGTGCTGCTCCCAAGGAGTCGATGTAGTGCAGGTCAGGACCATCGGTGGCATCATACCCGGCCAGCAGCATGGCTACCTGATATCTGGTGTTGGTCCTAATGTAATCCGCCAAATGCCGGCGGGTAAAATGAGCCGCAGCCCGGGCACTCAGGTGATATCCATTGGCAATCTTGTACAGATGCAAATTTTTTGATATATAATCCGTAAACTGAAGAGTATCGCCGCCATCGCCCACGGCGGCCATCATGTTGAAGTCGGAAAGGCGATGGACTTTAGACTGATCTGAGGGAATGAGGGATTAGTTTAGGTAACATTTCAAATATCTTTGCAATAGAAAAACCTACCATCCTTCATAAAGATTAGCGACTTGGCCTGCATTGTATCCGAAGCGAGCATTACAAAGTCCGGTCCCTTGATCCCCAAAATGGTTTCCATCGCCATATTTGCGCTACGTAAATTTAATGCTGGTGTGTGAGTATTGAATATTTTAATTTCTACAGTGTAGTTTGTGTGATTCTACTTCAATTATTAAATTTTGAGTAATGTATGCCTGTCACCATCACGGCTTGTTGAGGTTCTGAATCTTATCAACACTGTCGTACATCAGGGTGAAGAAGGAGTAGGCCCCCTTGCAAATGGCCGCAAAGGTGCTTAAATGAATGGGTAGGATATCACCGGCAAGTAGGAGCTGCTGCTGCTTGGTCCGCTCCGCCAGGATTAGCATGTTACTGCGATACCTGCTGCTCTGGTCAATCCAGTTGCTGCAAAAGATTGCATAGTGGAGGCTCGAGAAGCTATCCGCCATCATGGTGCCATAGTAGCACAGGGGATATGTTTGTAATGTAACGCCCCAAAGGAAAGTCATGTAGAAAACGCGATCCTGTACTCTCTCTACGTAGAAGACCAGACCGAACATGATCAAAGCAATATTGGCGGCTATTACAATAAACTGGATCAACATGGGACCGGTTATGAGGCTGCGCGTAAGTTCCAGCAATCTAGATTATAAAATATTAAAAATATATTACAGAATATATATGTAATTGTTACCTATATAGATCATTCTGGTCCTTGATGCAGTTGACAAGATCCTTCTCATTGTCTCGTTGACTTGCCGATCCATAGCCGATACTGGATATGCGCAGGATCAGCAGATGGCACTGTTCGGAAATAAGGTACAGTGCCAGAGGTGGAAACGAGTCGTCCGCAAAGTTCTGAAGGACTTGGCAGAAAATGCCAACCTCCTGAAAGAGCAGAACAGCTACATAGGCCACCATCGAGTGCTTCCAATCGAAGGGAATCCATAGAGGAAAAGGTAGGCTTCTTTCGCTCCGGAATAGAAAGGAGATCGCCGTGTTAACCATCACGGTCAAGAATGTTGCCAAAAATACTCTCGATAGGCGCTGCAGGTACTTGGCCATATGTCGGTGATAGCGGATCTGCTCCTTCCCCTTAGCCCGGCTATCCAACTGGGCTATAACCTCCTTCATCTCGACCAGCTTGTGAAGCTTACGGACATACATGCCGAATTTCAGGATTGTGGATAGCGAGGTGATGGTCAGGCTAACGTTCGTTATATTCTCCAGCGGCGTTTCGAAGCTAAACAACGATAGCAGCAACATCGGCACCAGCATTGAGACAAAAACGTTGAGGAACATTGCCCAACCCAGATATTTGCCATTGCTCAAGTCCAAGGCTCCAAGGATACGCCAGGCGCCAACCTGAATAGAGAAGTAGTCTATTTTAAACTTCTCGTTACCTGACGACATTTCTCTTGCCAATTTCCCTTTCACTGATGGTCCCGGACAGGTGAGAGGCCGTTTTATAGCACTTTCGTGCAATTCCCACAATTAGCCGCTTGCTATTAAAGACAAATTAATTATTAAGGCGATGGAAGGTCAAATTTAATTTATTCCTTACACTAAGCTACAGGTAACACTAAAAGAAAACCTCTTTTCTTTGAGAAAAAAAATATGCGTGGGTTTATTTATAAATATTTTCAAGGAACTTTTTACAATTTTATTTTGGTTACTTTAGGATATTTGCTGAATCTACACAAACAAAAATCTTACCAATATATTAGTGAATTGTCAATTGTCAATATGACACCAAGTATCTGTCGCTTCACATGGCAAATTCATAATGGTGGTGCGCTGTCCCGTCTCCTTCGGATAACCACCTTACCACCCACTCAACCCAGCTTGTCTGAGCGTCCATTTCCGTTTGGTTTGTGCCACCGTTGGGGGCACTTAAAAAGCACTTAGTTGTGTTTCATTGAAATAATTTTCAGCATTTCCGCACTTGAACACGATTTTCATTATCCTGCTAGCTCCATTTTACTATCCCCATTGTCTGCAATTTTAATGTGATGGAAATTCGCGCCATTCTGAATAATTATCACATCTATTTGTGAAATGGAAATATTTCCGCAATTAAAAACATATTTTCTAGCACCCTTGAAGTAATGACTACCATTCCATTCTCATTCTGATTCCCCATTTCCGTTCTCGTTCATCCTTTGTGTTTGCAATTTCAGGCGATTATCCTGCAATTAAATGGGAGATCTGGTAACAGTGAGAGCGGTAGGGTAAGACTTTAATTGGTAAACAGGTTCCTTTTTTATCCACCCCAATTCCTTCCAGATTCAAAAATATTATTCGAAACGTAGTGACAATTGATTTAACCTTACATATTCGGGGAAAATATCAACCAACAGTCAGGCAAATAATCAATATGAACTAAATTCCTAGTTAAACTGACGTTCGATGTGGGAGGAAGCATGAGTCGCCAGGGCTGGTGAAAATGTCATTTACTCTAACCAGCCAGAGCGTAATCCGATTTGAGAGCAGCAGCTCCAGACTTCGGGACGAATGGCAGCGGACATTAATGTTTTTCAATGTCGATATATCTGGGGGAGTGCACTGCGACCACCGAAACGAGATTACCCAGGACCGTAATGGAGAGCGTGAGTTGATTAACGAGATTTGCGAAGCGTCCACTGACTCAAATTCGAAAACATTTCCAGGGCGAAACCCAGGCGGAGGATTGAGCAATCCAATTAGAGAGTGTGCGATGCCATTTGGGAAGCAAAATGAATTCTATGCCCAGAGCCGGGATGATTTCGGCCCTCGGGCACTCAGATCAAGGCGACGCTCTCTTGTTGGCCGAAGAAGACGAAGACTTTCTTGCGGAAGTCGCATGCGTTATCGGCCGACAAAACCAAGGTGGAATAATCCTGATATAGCCCCGTTTTCCCATTTCCCCGCCCAGAACTCTAATCATCCCTATGTCACCCCAGACTATGACACTGATAATGGGTACAACAATCACTGTGCCCACAACCCGTATCAGAGTGACGAATTTGAACTGCCTAATCAAAATTCCAGGGACTTGATATATCCTGAGACAGCACGAGATTCACGAGATTGCTATGGCACCGATTCGTACACCGATTCCTCATATGAAAGTCCTCGTGATTATTACGATAACGAAAGGCTTAAACGTGGAACTTATCAGAGATCATACGAACCACCACCTTATAGAAACTGCAGTCCCTATTATCCAGATGAACATGATGATTTCAATATGAACGGTAGGGAATCTCTATCCCAGCTAAACATTTTTAGAAGAGGGAAGCAGAGACAAACGTCGGGATCAATGATACCCGAGTATGCCATTAATTATAATGATAAATATCATAAAGAGCGGTATGTGTCACCTAATGATAGCGATTTCGAAGATCGTTATGAAGACTCGGAAGCCACCAAAGTTCGATATTCGCCACAAAAACGTTTCGGTTATGATGACTATGGGGAGAAGAGACACAGGCCGCCGCCTTTACCTTCTCCGAAACCAAGAGCCAAGTTTCGAAGCGATTATAAGCCATACAAGGATAAAGGCTACGCAATTAACCAATCCAGGCATTATAAGACAGATTTACCGGATATGGTAAGCCACCACTCTCACGTACCAGGAAATCGTCATAGAAATCGCTCAAGGGAATCCGGAAGTTGCCATCGAAATCGCTCCAGAAGACATTCCTACCTGGAAAAGAATACACCCTATTTTACTCCCTACAAAAAGTCTAGAGAAGCGTCAGCACATAATAATAGAATCTCCCGGCAAACTTTAAGTCTCGGTTCCCCGAAAATGCATCAGAATATGCCAAAGGCCCACGTAACAGTGCCTCGAAGACCTCCTGAGAAAAGAAAACTAAATTTTGAGGTAGAAGAAATTCCACAGCCTTTCAAGAAATACATAAGAAAGGAGGTACCTCCCAGTAATTTCACCTTAGCTTCAATGATGAAATACCCCGTCGGCAGAGAAATTTATTAAAAGAACCTTCCGTAAGCTTCGGTAATATCTCATCTTCGAAATTGTATGAACCCGACGAGCGGAGTAGTAATCAAAAAATCCCTTCTGATAAAAAGAAATTATTCGATTTTGGTTCGGAAATACCATATAGACTTTGGAAGAGCACAACCCCTTCTCCAATGCCATTCACATTTGATATACCCTTCAGAAAGAAGAAGTCACGAGCAAAGTTGCTTTATCTCAATGATTCAGACTCGGATTCGTGCTGTGGTTGTGACACTGTCGATCCACATTCAAGCTCTGCTTCCAAGGTTAAAAAGAAGACAACTTTTAAGCCCCGAGTATCACTATACGAGGTTAAGAATAATCGTCCGCCGAAATCAATAAAGCAAAAAATATCAGGTTTTCTTAAAATGTCGAAAAAAGGCAACAAACGATCGTGTACCTTCAAAGAAAATTGAAAAAAATTAAGAATAAATGCAAAGATGACAAAGGTAATGGAAAGCCCCGATCTGCTCTTAAAACGAATGACCCCTGTGCTGCACAGAGAAGTAAGATTAGTTGCGCCTCCGGGCAGAAAGAAAGCATTTCAGCCCAAGCATCAGTGTGTAATAAAACTAAAAGATGTATTAGCAAGATAGGAACAAATAGTCACTATCCGACAGTTTTTAGGGGAAAGTGCAAAAATATTAACGATGAAAATGAAGAGTCCACGTGCAACATTTTTTGCTCAAACCGCTGCTCCAAGTGTGATCACTGCGAACAAAAGTTATACAATCGGATATCAAGCGGAAATTGCAGTCTAAACAATGATGGTAAGAAAAATGAACCCGTCAATCAGAGTGAAAAAAATCTCTGTCTCAACAGTCAAGAGACTGCCAGCATGAGAGGGAGTCTTCAGATCATACCATCCAAGACGATTAGCAACCATGGGAGTGATAACGACTCGAGCGAAGCCGGATCAGTATCAAGTAACGTTTCAGTATCATTAGACGCTAGCCTCGTAGAAAATCAATTTAGAAATGTGAGGTTTTCTCCAACGCCCTCCTACAAGAGTTGTTCTACAACGTCGAGCAGTTCTGAAAATTCCAGCATCCGAGGAATCATACTTTCAAAGGCAACTGAAATCGATCGTCAAGTCATTGAGACGTGTGCAAACACTCCAACAATTTCTAAAAGTACATCCTCGGAGATGGGATGTACTACCCCCGCCGTCGTATATGCGCCAATTGGAGCCTCACCCGGAAGTCTTGTCCTTCCCATCAATCGAATCATCATTGCCTTGAGTGCAACAGCTGCAGACCCTCGCGTCCTGGATTGTGCTTACCAAATAATATTGAAATGAGCTCAAGGCCTCCTGTTCTCCAACGCATATTAAATATGAAATCTAGCCTGAAACATCAAATAACAAGCTAGAAGGGACGACATCAAACAAAAAGGTTTCCTTGAATATTAATAGCTCTAGCAGCTGTCTATCTAAGATAAGTTCTGAAAAGTGTTCCATAAACAGCGATTATAGCCATTGCCGTTCTGAAAAGAGCATCACAAATAGTGATAAAAGTCATTCATTTTCCAGAGAAAGCTTGGGAATTACTGATAAGACACCTTGCTGCAGTTCAAAAAGAGATATTGAAATTGTGGAAAAACCTATGTGCCAATGTAACACCGACAACTTGACCGAAGAACGACCAATTGAATCGATGTCCAGATTTTGCACCTCTGAGAAAAGCATCAAAATTAATGATGAATGTGCTGGCAGTTCTGCAAAAAGCTCAAATATGCCTGAAACATGTCTTTGCTGCAGTGCAAGTAAAGAAAGTGAAAATATTGAAAAACCAAAGTGCAAAAAATCCCAATGTAAATACGACAACTTGGGCGCAGAACGGAAAAATAAATTTAAGCCAAAATATTGTAATTCTGCAAGAAGCATTAAAATTAATGTTAATAGTTCATGCAGCTCTGCGAAAACCTCAAATGCTGACGAAACATGTCCTTGCTGCACCCCAAAAATTGAAATTGATAATATGGAAAAGCCCGTGTGCCAATGTATGATTGCCGAAGAATCAAAAAGTGACCTGATACCAAAATCTTGCAGTTGGCAGGGGGAAAGCCCTTGTAGTTGTCTATCACAACCTAATGGATCAAATTGCGGACCCGAATTCCCACATAAATGGCCCGACGCGACAGCAAGTAATACCCAATGTAGTCCGGAGAACATGCAACTAGTTTGCTTGGCAAATTCTACACGTCCCTCGTGCTTAGCTGTTCCAAATTGTGAAAGTACTACTACATGCGATGGCAGCCCAGAAGCAATCCCTAGAAGAGACATGATGTCAAGAAACGGCAATAATCTTGTGGAAGAACTAAAACGGGAACTTCTGAATAGTTTCAGGAAGAATCGTCATATCGGATCCCCATGCACTTGCCTTCGGCAGACTCCACACTTTATGATCATTCCCTGCCAGACTCTCCGATTATTACCGCTGATCGATTCTATGGTCCTAATTCTGTAGTCTGCTGGGCAGCTTGCCCTAAGCCACCGAATCCTTTTTGAGGTATGGTATTTTAATTTATTTAAAGTATACAGTTCTTTTACGTTATTTTTTTTAGCTTCAAACTGGTCCGTGTCTTGGGGTCAATCTTCAGCATATTTACAGTAAGTTTTGAATATATAGTATTCATTTTCTTAGATTTACGTTTATGCTCCTTTCCAGGACTCTAGGCCGAATATATATAAAATTTACGGATATGAGTTAAAGCCTAAACAACACATTAAATAAACGGTTGCAAATTATTTTGTATACCAGCAAATTTCTTATGCTTGTTATTTATTTCTTTTTTGTGCTAATTAAGAACCAGAAGTTTAACAAATTTAACAGAAAATCTGGGTATTAGTGAGAAAGCTTTAAAAAATTTCCGCCACATCAAAGTTTCTCCACTTTTTTTGTGATGGCAACACGGTATTTTGAAATGAAAAAATACATTTTGAGTCGATCACACTGTTGTAAAAATTATAACATGACAATAGAATTAATTTTGAAATATAAAATCCTGGAAATAATTTGTTTATTTTTTTAATTAAAACGGAATCTGTTTACTTTTATCTTCTTCGAAATCTGGAAGTTTAGGGTATTCTAATATGAGTATTTCCGTTTGGTATATTTGCTCACGCAGACAATCGAAACCAAATTGATCGATAACAGACGCCATTACTATTTAACATCTTGTTTGTGAGCCACAAAAAGTTGCAAGTTTTAAGTTGAATTTTGATTTGAATTTGGAGCATCATGTCGAATGACGTGGAGGAGTATATAAACAGCAGCCAGACGATCTTGGCCCAGAAGTATAGAGTTTACGCCGAGCTCGGCAGCGGCTCGTTCGGCGACATCTACAAGGCGAAGTGCAGGGAAACTGGCGAGCGCGTGGCCGTCAAGTTGGAGAGTACTAAAGCCCCCAGGCCTCTAATCTTGGACGAGTACAAGATGTATAAGACCGTGGGAAATGGTGTGGGCATCCGCGGGTCTTGGACTGCTTCATAGAGGAGGATGTGAACGTGCTGGTGATGGAGCTGCTGGGCCCATCGCTAAACGATTTGTTCGATTTCTGCAATCACCGCTTTTCGGTAAAAACTGTGGCCATGCTGGCAGACCAAATGATCGAGCGCCTACAGTATGTCCACTCCCATAACATCGTGCACCGTGACATCAAGCCAGAGAACTTTCTAATGGGCATGGGAGACCTCGATAATCAGCTGTACATCATCGACTTCGGATTGGCCAAAGAGTACTGGAACGAGGAGACCGACAGGCACATCCAGCCGGGGTCCGGCTCTTGTCTGGTGGGCACCGCCCGCTATGCCTCTATCAATGCAATGACAGGCGGCGAGCAGTCACGCCGCGACGACATGGAGGCTCTGGGCTATATGTTGATCTACTTGGTTAGGGGCAAGCTGCCCTGGCAGGGTATCAAGTACGGGAACTCGAAACAGAGCAACGAGAGGATTGCAGAGGTTAAGCAGTCCACCCGTTTGAAGGATCTGTGCCGCGGCTGTCCAGACGAATTTGGAGCCTATATGAGCTACTGCCGCACTCTGGGATTCGAGGAGGAGCCGCATTATTCGCTTATACGACAATCATTCCTCGATTTGATGAAACGCTACGGGTACACCAACGATGGGATCTTCGACTGGATGGATCGGGTAGATGAGATTTGTATCGAGGAAGAAGAAACCGTTGTTACCGTACAATAAATGAAGTCTTCACTTTTCCAGGGACTGTCAGAAATGTCATTTTAAAATACACAAGCTGCCAGCAAACCAAAATGAGTCCAATTAACAAAACTGGGATTTGGATTTGTGCAACGTTTGCATTCTCTGGCCAGATTTCAGTTGCAGTTCCTGCAGCCGGAGCAGCTGCCAGAAATGTCCGTCAGTACAAATGGCAGCAAAAGTCAATGGAAATTGCCAGGGGTGCTTCATGAATTCAGGGAGCAGCAGAAGCAAACGAGCCTGGGAAACTTTCGAACAAATGAAAACGTAGCAAATGACAGCATCCAATTTACGTTTGCAATTAAACTGACACCGAACAGACACTTGATTTAGTCGGAAGGTAGCCACCTCTGGACCAGCTCACGACCACCCACATTCCGTCCGTTTCTGTGAGATGTCGATTTATGGACATGGCCATTCAAAGTTGTTTCCCAGCAGATTTATGAATATGGAAATGTACGAAAATTTGTCCTTTATTTGTCTGCCCAAGGGGCAGAAGACTTGACCAGATGGAATAGTTCTATAAGAATAGTGTGGGTCCCTCCGATACTATTATCACAACCTTGCGGCATCTGAAGAGATTTGTGGAGTCTGCCATCTTTGGATTAGATTGTTTTTGGAAAGGAGAAATGTTCCAGATTAGTTGAAGGAGAAATTTCAGTTTGTTTTTATCTTTTACAAAATAATTTTGAATTTCTTTGGCTGAAAATTTTGAAAGGAGAATTGGACAGTTAATTTCAGGCACACTAAATAATGTATTCCGTGTGATACATACATATCTAGATCCCTCTGGTATTGGCTAAGGCAAGTGTTTCACACAACAGTTTTCAAGAAATAGTCAAGGCTTACAAATCTCTTTTTTTGCAAAATAGAACTGTCTTTTAAATATTTAAAACAATCTTTTTTCTTATATTATTTCTAGCACTACTATGTATGTTTGTAAGTGTGAAGTCAGTGGTGTTAATGAGCCTTTTGAGCAGGTGAATATCAGAGGACTGGACAAAATTGTGCCAAGCAACGCAAGAGAAATATTAATGCTGACTCCTTATCAAAAATGGCAGCAATCAGCACGCTCAGTTAGCACCTCGTTCGGCAAGTGTGGGAATCGCCAACCGAACACTTTTCCCCCAGCCATTAATCCTGTGGAGCAGCCGAGCATTTCGTCTGTTTTCGGGGAGCAGCGTCAAGTGCGAGCCAGGCTAAAAGCCCCATCAGGGCCAAGTGGCGTGTCAATCGGCCATTAACATGGGTCCGAACAGTCCCCCCTGTATCTCCCCCCCCCCATGTTGCCGTCGATAAATAAAAACAAACACCTAGAAGGCAGCCTTAAACAGCCCCAAGTCGTCCTAAATGATGCCGAAGCTGATTGAAGAACTGAGTAAAGAGGCGGTGTAAATCGAAATTGAAATCTCACCTGTCAGATTTTCTCACTCACCTGGCAGGCGGCAGGCTGCCAGGCTGTGTCGGCTGGCAGTGAAAGTTGAAAGAAATTCTTTCATTAAAAAATTAAATGCGGCAACACTTGGGAATTTGTAAGAAAATTGCTCATTAAAAGTTTTCACCTGGAGAGGCGCTCAAAGCGAATCTCGACACTAATTTTCTTTTCATGTAATTATGTGCAGCAACTGAAGAAACAGCACACAAAAAATTCCCATCTCTTTTATTTTCGCCGGCAATTGTGTGCTGTGTGCTGTGCCTCTGCTTGCACTTTTCCAGCAAGTTTTTTAGCTCGACAAGGAAAACTTGAGGTTGTTAATGCAAAGGACACAACTTTTTGCGATGTGTGGAAGAAGAGACCTGCTCTTGGGTGTCCTTCTCCTTCGACACATTCCCCAAACGCTGGGAATACTCGGAACCGTTGCTACAAATATTAGTCATCTTCATTTGGCATTCGGTTTGCACTTTTCAACTGGCAAATTGATTTGATTTCGTTTGCATTCCCCTGTGGACGGCACTCGACTCGACTGCATCCGCATCAAAGCTTAATATTGGAAAAATAATGTGAACAAATTGAACTTATAAATAAATCAAATCAAAATATCTTGTATTACGGCAGAAGGACACGCTCTACGCTCTCCGAAGTGGTTCCGAGCGCATATTGCGTTCGAAATTGAGTTACATTTAAATATTTTCCCATTGCAATGGCAAACGCTCTCGGATATGCACGTGGAGGAGGTCCAAAGTTACCCTGTCCAGGTCCCAGCTGTTCTGGCGATTGAATTTCGAGTGCTTTCATCGTAGTTAAAGTTGATTGTTTTTAATACACTTGCGGGGTATAATAATTTTAGTTAGAAGCTTGTAACGCTGTGAAGTTTATATAAATTATATTCCTATAAATTATATTTATTATTAATCAGCACAAACCCCTTAATCGTTCTAGCTATGCCCGGTAAAAAATTTAGAATTTCTAAATTTTAAATAGAGAATGCAAATTTATTAACCTAATAAAAACTAACATAGAAAAGCTTTCCGAATTAAAATTAATTCATTGAACATTTCAAGTTTTATATAAATTGATCTATTATTTATTACAGCTTAATTATGATCAAATTTTAACTTGATCCCAATTTACAATTCCAAACTGAAAGGGTATACAAACTTTAACTTCCCGAAGTTAGTTTCCATGCTTGATTATTACTATTTGGCAGAACAAGTAAGAAATAGCTAGAACCAAACAAACAAATATGTGAAGAAAATATATACTTTATAAATATATTTAGGTAACTTGAGAGAAATATTTTATTGCAACCACGGCGAAACGCATTTGATGTTGTAAAAAAAAGGAAATTCGAGTTTTGCAAATACAGCTTTGGTAAAAATGTAAAATTGTAAAAAACAGTTGAAATTAAAAATTGTATTTTTCAACTTTATATTTTAAACAAGAAGGAAAGCTGAATCCCAGGCACTCACTGTTTGTAATTAAATCATTGAGTATCAAAGCATTTCAGCAAAATTAAAAGCATTTAGATGTATTTTATACCTTAGTTGTACATTTTTTTCGATGATTTTTGGCAAATTAAAAAGCAAAAATATTTTTGTTATAACAATATTGTAGTTCAAATATCTATATTTGCTGTTGTTGTGTTGGCAAAAAATAGGGCTTCAGAGGGCAGAGGAAGGATTATGTGTGCTGAACACCACATTATTGCAATAAAATTAAATGTGAAATTCGTAAATATTATATTTGATTTTCCACTTGAACTGTGTTGCCTCCGATTTCCAGCCTAATCCCTCAACAAGCTTGGCCGAATGTTTAATTGCATTAATTTATATCGAAATAATTTCAATTTCCTTTCGTGCATCGAATGGCCAACAGGGCGTATAATTGATTTGACTTCCGCGAACGCCTCCGAAAATGGCGCCAGCAATAAATCTCAGTGCCGCAGCACAAATGCTTCAGCGTTAGCTTTGTGAACTTAAAATTATACGGATAAGATCAGAAATAAATTTGCATAAAACTGCATTTACATTCGCCACAAAACCGAAATCTTCAACGCAAAAGTGGAACTCTGCACAACAAGGAGCGTACCTCGGAGCCCGAATGCTCGCGTTGATTAATTATCTACATGAAAGCGTGCAATTTACAGCTCACCTTAAGCTCGCCTCCGATTTCCGCTCACTCCCGGAGTTCTATTTATGGAGTGTTTAGTTGTCTGGGGCCGATTGGAGCGCGGATAAGCCGGGAAAGTTACAGCGAAACTGATTTCCATAGCGCACTTTATCTAAATTAAAATCAAAAACTCTGCCTGCTGCCCGCCTCATTCATTCCGCACGCCAATTGAGCCTCGGACTTGGTAGCTCAGTTTGGGGTATATACACAGGAAGTAGGGATATGTGGTCCTTTTTTTATTTTCCAAATCTACTGAGGTCCTGCGACGTAGGTTTTAGGTAGCCTTTAATTTTTATTTATTACTGAAATGTTTGCTTTGATGACGAATTTAAAAATATGGGTAAACCATTTTCTAAAAGTATTTAAATCTTTTAGAACTTAATATAAGAATTCAGAAGAAACATAAATTTCTCAATATATCAAAAAGGGTATCACGAAAACCAGCTTTAGTTAGAACCCTTTTTGGTGAAACCCCGTTTTTATTTCGACCTGGTTTAATTAACACCATGATCGAATCTGATATTTTTAATGGAATTGGTAGCTGACTTCAAAGAAACAAAAAAAAGTACCCACCCAAGTCCTGTTCCCGGCCCTGAGGAGATGATGTCACGATCTGGATTCCAGACCTGGAGGCCATCCAAGTCCAACCCAACCCACTTGGCCCCTCGTCCGTTTGTCAATGTCACAGGAGTCAGCGGCTGTGCGTTTGTTGTCTGCAGGTAAATGGTGTGTATTTCAATTTAGCTGCAAATAAATTGCGAACAATAAAGCGGGGGAAAAAGTGTAATTTGTTTGGGTCGTTTGTTCCCAGTGTCATATCTGCCAGAATGTATCTCTACCCGGGGTCACAGTGCCTCCGTGTGTCTGCGGCTGAGCGATGAGATTCTTATTTTAATTTTGATTATGTGCCTGGGCTTCAGTCCGCTTTCTTCTGTTCAGGCCACGCATTCTCGGCAGATTTGTATCTGTTAGTTACATTTACAAATTGCCCAACGCATTTATTCACCCCGGGAATTGGATTTGAAAATTGAGCTGTATGCGGAACACTCGAGACTCATATCTAAGCTTCTTCGGCCTTCTAATGCTCTTAAAATCTGATGTTACTAGCCTGTCAGGATGGAGGATGCGGCAGCAATATGAGGAAAGAATTGTCAGTCACTTAGCAAGGCATTAGCAGGAAATATTTTGGGGAAATTGATCGAGTTGATGTAAGTGGAAAAGTGTGATGCTTGATGATAGAAATGCACAAATAAAATTAAAAATAAATATATAAATGAAGCCCCTTAAAAACTAAAAAATTTTAAATACATATTTACTACCTATTAAATTAAAGTTTATTAGGCATAAATATCATTATTATTATATATTATGTGTTAACATATTTTCAGTTTATTTTTTTAAGTGAAACCTATAAGATATACCCTGCTCCTGTGATCGATTTTGTGAAAAGCAAGTGTTCAAGTGAACGGAATAAACACCTTCAACGTCCGGGCTCTTTCAGCCTCAGCCTAATAACTCCATTTGCCGGAATGCATTAGAAAGACTTGCTCTAAGGAGCAGTTTCTAGTCCTCCTCCTGGTCCTGCTGCTCTACATACAGGGTTAATCTCCTAGGTAAAATGGCTGAGGACATCGTCACATGAGATGGGAAGCCGTAAGTCTTAGGTCGGCTTTACAATGGCCGACTTGTGGGCCATTAGCAAAAATGAAAACAAGGCCATAACCCCCGCACACAAAGGTGATTCTGCGAAACGCTTATTAAAAGGACACTTTAGCCCTGTGACAGGATGTGACGACACATCCTAGGGCGCACAAGCAGAGGTAATTTAGATTGCGTCTGCCGTCCCAAGCAGCCCAACAACGGGTCATAACAGACCCAGTTGACATGGAGGTTAAATAGATTAGGGATATCGCTTTCAGCCAAGTGGCGGCGGGGGTTATGCACCTGCTCCCAGCTAGAAGCCAGGTGAGAGATGGCTTGGCTTTGGCTTTGACTTTGGCTCGAAAGTAATTGCCAAATATTGGGACAACACAACCGGAGGTGGGTTGCGGCACGTGCCCAGTTTTCTCTTCCGGTTCCTGTTTCAGACACGAAATTGAATTATTAATGCCGTTGTCATTGGGATCGGGAGCGATGAAAGTTGGGCGCGAACTTTACCGAA